ATGAAGAGTAGCCCCTGCTCACCGCAACTAGAGGAAGCCTGCGCGCAGCAACGAAGACCCAACGCAGCCACACACACAAAAAAAAGAAGCAAAAAGAAAAAGAAAGAAAGCAAAAGCCTGTCCCTGTAAAGCATGGAGTGCTGTTCTTGGCCCATGGAGAACCTGTAACAAAGGTCAGATGGTGCTGTCTGGGCCATCTGGGCCAAGCACAGAGCCAGGCATGCGGCACAGTGGCTCTCGAAATGAGATGCGAAGCAGGGAGCAGGTTGGGCAAGGCAGGGAAGGGATAGCTCTTCACCCTAAGCCAGGAGGAACATAAATCTCTTACCCTCCTGTATACCTCACCTATTCTCTCCTGATAGCTTCCTTCAGATCTGATGGGAGCACCCAGGCTTGCAGCCCAGAATGAGGGGCTCAGGGGAGCACTGCATCCCCAGCTACCCCTGAAGCAAATGAAAAAATACAGAGATAGGAAATGTGCTTGTGATTCTGTCACTGGGATATGCAAATAAAATATATATGATAGGCCTATCTGCCTAATATTCCTGCCAATTCATTCTCTGGATGTGATTAAAATGAGCAATAAATTCCTCGTGAGTCTCGATGGAGTGAGGATCTGGGAGCGGAGATGCGGGCTGGCACAAGCACGTCCCCCTCAGCTGAATATTCATCATGGAATAGCTCCCTATATTTTTGTTTTATCTGCCATCGTGTGCACAGAGATAGATTTCTACCTCTCCTTCATCTCTTAGTTAAGATGTGGAAATGGTCTAAGCTTTAAGTATTAAACTCTCCAGCTACTGAAATCCTTCAAAGTGAGATCACAGTTATCTTCTCTATGAAGCCTGCCCTGCTTATTCTGTCTGGAGGTGATCCATGCTTTCCTGGGGCCCCCACAAACTCTGTATGGACCCCTCCTAAGGCACAAGTCAGTCTGTGCGTATCAGAGCTAAGAGCGCCTGCCTCTCCCCATCTTCCTCTCCCAACAGCCAGCTCAGGAGACAGGAGCTGGCTTCATCCACCTCTGGATCTTCTCAGGGGCCCCAAGGGGGCTTCTGCACACAGAGAATGCTGAGAGAACTGAGCAAACCGGCCATGAGGAGAAACTTATTTAAGCCACCTAAGGTGACAGAGATTCTGAGATAAGTGAGTGACACATTTTAAAAGGCAGAAGAAAATTAAAAATTAGGCTTATGGATAATTCTAAAATGAGAAAATCATCAAGAAATAATAAGTGAAAAAAGCAGATTCCAAATATGGAACTAGGATCATAACTCATAACACCTTCAGGACCAAGTAGGAAATACAAATGTCTGACAGGCAAGCACATAATACAATAGGAAATAGGTGCCTGTGGCTGGAGAGTCCACGCTCCAACCTCTAAGGCATTATACTCATATTTAAAAAGAAAAAAAGTTGGCAAAATAAAACATGGCTGCCAGTTTGAGACCCCTGGGGTTTATACAGTAGGCTACTAACCAGGTTAAAAAAAAAAAAGACCACTTATATAAATATATATAGATATGGTTCAGAAAAGGCAAATGTAGTATCATAAGAAGAAATCTCTGATTCCTATCCCAATAGTTGCTAATAATAGCTTGATTTTCTAAAGTCACATGCTTTATTTCAGCTTTAGATTTCTCATTTGTAAAATGTGGGGAATAAGAGCTACTTCATGGCTTTGTTACAGGATTAGAAAAAATATATATTAGAACACCTGGCAGAGTGCCTAGATGCACTTGATAAATGGTACCTACAATTATTATAAATAATTAAAAACATTAATAGCAGTTATGTACAGGTAGTCAAGCTATCAGGCTAAAACGTTTTTAACTGAGATTCAGTTCAGTTGACATCTCTTCCAGGAAGCCTTCCTTGATCTCCCAGGCAGTATTAGAAGCCACCTTGGCTTTCCATAGTCCCTGTCCCTGGCCTTCCCTGGGACTGATGAGTTGGTGGTATCATGCTTTACTTGCCTGTCTCCTCACCAGATTGGGACTTCCTTGAGGGTTTCACCCAGCTGTCTTCTTCCCATCTAGCTGAGAGCCTGGCACACAGATGTCATTCATAAATATGTACTGACTTATTTAATTCTCTTCATTTTACTCTCCAAATTTTCCATAATGGGAAAGATGACTTTTATAATTACAAATTTTCTATAAAGAGCCCATAACTGACTATAGAGGTAGGTGAAGGTGGAAGAGGCTGAGCTGGGTGGCAGGGGGATGCCGGATGGAAAGCAGGGGAGGAAGATAAGATCAGAGTGGTGGTAACCTATGTCTAGACAAAGAGCCAGGAGATGAGGTCTCAGGTTGGAGCCTCAGCACCCTCCAGGCCTGAATCATTATGTTACTGACATGGGGCCTGAACTCAGAAAGGAGCAGCTGCTGCTTACTTACTGGCAGAGGGAGACAGAACCCAGTGTAAAGCAGTGTTCTTCCCCTGAAACTCTTCCGCAAAACTCTTCCGCACAATTTTGAAAAGGCAGTTTTTTGCAGCTTGGAGGAAAAAATCAGAGCGGAAAGAATGGGTGACCATGGAGATGCTGAGCAACTAAGAGAAAGACAACGCTGCTGACATCCAGGGAGAGGTGAGGGTGGTTCACGTGGGTAGAATTTGAGGGGACTGCAGAGCAATCAAGTGGAAGTGCTCAGCAGACAGGTGAACATTTCGGAAGGAGGAAATCCAGACTGGGTAAAGGGATCAAGTGCAGAGAGGTGACGACAGAGAAAGTCTTCCAACTGAGAGGTGACAGAACCCCTGGGCTGGCTCTGAGTGGTCTTCTAGCCTCTAAAGGCAGTCCCTGCCTGGGGTCACAGCTCTGGGAGGGAGCTCCTCCTGCAGCAGCCATCCGTTAGGCCTGGCTCTGTCCTAGTCCTAATACTGAATTAATTTCCTCTCCTCCCATCCCCACCCCAGTCGTCCCTGTGTCTACGTGCATCTCTCCTTTCCGGGCCAGACGCCCCATTGCCTTCGGCCTTTTCTCATGGCACAGTTCTGCTTGCCTCCTTACTGCCCCCCTCTGCACAGATTCTAAGAGCTCAGTCTACTCAGAAGGTAGCATCTGCAATTGCCCTCTGTGGTCCAGAAGGATCTGACTGGCACAGAGGACGCAACTGCCACGTATTCACTCAGGACACCAGCTTTGTACTGATGTGGCTGACATCAGGCCATTTCTTGGGCAGCCAAATTTTGTTAAGGGTCCCTCTGCAGCCCTAACCCTTCCACCCTCTCTGGCACTAAGTGGCCTGTTCTCCTGCTTTACATGACTAGACCAGGGCCTGCCCTATGTCACACCACCTGACAAATATGGGTACTTTTGGCCAAGTGCAGTGCTTGCTCTCAGGGGACAGTGGTTTGGCCTGAAAAGGGAGATAATGATGGGGAGGCAGTCCCTGAGGTGACCTGAAACAGTGCTCAGGGATTTCCTTATGGCATGGGGGAAGCTGACCCAACTACAGGACAGGAACATGGGATTAGTTCCAGTGAGTTGTGAGTGGAAGTAAAGGGTCCTACTTCCAGGCTGAGCAGTTAGCTGCAGATGCAAGGCCTTTCAGAGCACTCTCTCCTCTCTGTAAGCAAGCAGCAGTATTTCAGAGGGTGGCTGCTCTGCCAGTCAGGTCCCTGAGGACCTAGGATGAGCACAACCCGCCTCTGCTGACGTTCATGTGTAGCATGAGGTAAAAATGAATCTTTGCTGTTTTAAGCCTCCGAAATTTTGGGTTGTTACAATACCATGACCTAGTTTATCCTGACTGCTACACAGACAATGGTATTTTGAATGGAACCTTAGAAACCACTTAGTCACAATGTTTTCATAAAGGTAAACTGATCTTCAAGAGGGGAAGCGCTCACCCGAGGTCACCCAGTCAGTGAGTGGGGGAGCTGGGATCACAACCCCTGTCTTGTCTTGGTCCGGTGACCTAAGTGCTCTTACTCAAGACACAGAGAATATGTGCCACTAGGTGGGACCTGTCACTCTTAATCATCTCAAAGCACTTCGGCCAGTTTGCCAATGAGAGACTCCATGATGCTGGAAAGAGCTCAAGACTGAGAGTCAGAAACCAAGCCTTCCAGTTCCAGTCCTGCCAGTGAACCTACTATATGACCCCCTGTCCAAGTCTTAGTTACAGTTTTGACAGTAACTCACTCTGGGACCAAATGCAAGTCACACCACATCCCTGGGGTCCAGTCTCCCCAGGAGGAAAAGAAGTCATTTGATTTAGGTTTCAGAGATTTAAAATGTGTGCCCACAGCACAGCCTTCAGGGAGGTTACCTGGGGGGTAGGGACAGTCCGGTGGGCGGGGCACTGGGCCACCCCTCCTTCAACAAGAACAGCTCTCTTTTCCTCTGACTTATTTGTTTAGACTTCGATAAGATTTCCCATCACCGGACTTGATGACTTCTCAGGTCCCTGCCAGCTCTGAGATTTGTGATTCTAGTTCTTGGATTCTGCCAAGCACTTTCTGAGATATAATTGGGTGGCTGAGAGGAGCAGAAGGCAGCCTGTTTTCAGAAGGTTCAAAAGTCTGGTTGAAAAGATCAAATGAAGATGGAGATTGTTTTGGCTCAGATTCCATACAAGGCTCTCTGGAGTGTGTGTGGAGGGAAGAGGTCAGGGAATAGCTCTAGAAGGAGTGATGATGGGAAAGGATTACTTGATGAGGCTAAAGAATACATGAGGCCTGAGGAAATAGTACTTAGGCTGAGATTTATGTCTTGCTGTCCTTCCTCCTATGAAAAGGAGCTGGAAGGTCCATTACCTCAAAAACTGAATTTGAAAGTCCTCAGAAGACAGAAGTGGCCCAGGCCTCTTCCTGGTCAGGAAGAGGGGCGGCTTCCTATTCTTGATGAGAGTGGGGGTTGGATTTCAATTTAAATAGACAATAATCCCCTAAGCAGAAGTGGCCCTTGGTGTGGAGCCTGACATAATTTAATGAGTGAAAGACCAAATGCAGCATGGAGTGCCCACAGGCCTTCTCCTTTCTTTGAGACTTACCTTGGCCTCAGAAGTCCTTAAGAGCTTCATCACCTCCCCTTCTCGAGCATAATCCAAGGGTGTGTGTCCCATTTCATTCCTCTGCAGGGGGTTAGCTCCTGGCAGGAGGAGAAGGAGAAATAGAGCCTCTATGAGTGATCAGTGGGCTCTTGGCCTTCCCTCAGAGGTGGCTTGTGCCTTGATTTCAGTGTAAGGAATGCCCACAGAAATATGGAGCAACAGAAACCTAAGAGATTGAAATACATGTTAAGCTACTCTGAGAGAGGAGTTCTCAGTCCTCTCTGACACAGTGGTCAGGGTACTGAGGCTCCTACATGGGCATGCACACGTGCAGAAACACACCACCCATGCAGAGAGGTGCCACCCACACAGATATGCTATACACACACACAGGTGTGCTGTGCATACAAAAATACACACAGCCAAACATGCTAAAAAATACACCAAACACGCACATAGATTAATACACCCCAACACCAATGCGTTATTCATTAAAATGCCCGCATTATCAAATTCGTTTGTACACAGATGAATATTCATTCATCAAAATCATATAAAAATCTAAAGCACAGAATATACGAAATAACCGTGAAAAGGCCCCCTTCTTTCTGCTCTCTGCCTCTCCCTCTCCTTTAATGCTCTCTTCCTTCTGGACACTTCCTGCCTACCAGAGTCAGCTGAGTCCTCTGGTCATCATCAGCAACCTGGCTGTGCCAGCCCTCACCAGTGCTACTTGTTGGTGAGTTTGTGCACTCAGGCAGGCATTTCCTCCAATCATTAGTTCCTATGATTTGAAGACAAAGAACTTTAAGTATAACAAAAAGAAGAGGCTTGCTGGGGGCCATGCATCTACCTTCTCTCACTTTTAAGTGCCGGCAGCTGATGAGCCCTGAATAAAGTGTCCACTTGGTGCAAAGCCTTGTGGACAGGCAGTCGTGGAGGAAAGGCTACTCTAACCCCCATGCTATCAGAATCTCCTTCCCAAAGCCTAGGTCTGAGCACCTCACTCTACTCTTCAAAAACTGTCCATTCCATTCAATTTGCCAAATCTTGAATGAGTGGGGCCTGGGAACATGGAAGACTCAGATCTGGCCCTGCTCTAAAAGCACTTCTCTCAAGAACTATGTGTTAAATGGAACATTAAGGTAGTGGTCAACTAGTATTCCTTGATCTTCTTTTTTGCTAGGGAAGTGTTGTCTAGAAGTAAAGAAGGGTTAAGACACAGTCCCTGCCACAGGATATAATAAGTTGGCTGGGGACACTAAATACACAGGTAAGGCCGTGTCACCACGAGGCCTGGCTCGGGGGGATGTCCAGCCACTGTTTGTTGATGGACAGTAAAAATCAGTGTTTCTCAATCCCAGGCTGAGGAAACATTTATATCATGATATAAAATCATTCCTATTGAAACTCTCTGCTTCTTTTTTTTTTTTTTGCGGTATGCGGGCCTCTCACTGTTGTGGCCTCTCCCGTTGCGGAGCACAGGCTCCGGATGCGCAGGCTCAGCGGCCATGGCTCACGGGCCCAGCCGCTCTGTGGCATGTGGGATCTTCCCGGACCAGGGCACGAACCCGTGTCCGCCTGCCGATGCAGGGGACACG